TTAAAATAAATACATTCGTGATGCCCTTGGGCGACAGTGTCGTTTGACAGATAATTGAGCAAGAAAACGATTGACAAGTTGCAGAGGTGTATTTTACTTTATGCTTCTTTCCCTTCAGAATCAGATTATGCTCTAGATTGTAAAATTCGATAATGAAGGGAGACGTACACTGAAGAGAAAAATCCGTAGAAACTGTACCGAATTCCGTAGATGTTGCCTACGGATCCGTATTTCCGCAAAAATTTGTAAAATCCGTAGATCTACGGAGATTTCCGTAGATCTGGCATCTCTGATTCCACCTCTGTGTTGTGTTCAGTGTGATGTAAACAGGTGTGGCAATAGAGATTCGTCATCTCCTTCGTTCTCCCGTTGTGGTTGACGGAGTTTGACGTCAAACTCCGTCATCGATTTAATCAGCAGAAGAACAAAAGAGACGACAAATTCTCTGTTTACATCTTGTGTTGTGTTGCTAAAACTGGAAATCAAGCTGAACATTGCATTAAGTCCTAAGTAACATTGGTCGATTCTCTTCGTCGACTTTCTCTTTCGTTAACAACATGAGCACATAACCGTTTCTTGTTGTGTTTGTCGTATTAGATGCTAGATAAAAACTTCTTTTATCGATCTGTGTGCTGAGAATACCTGGAAATGTCTTTAAATGGCCGTGAGGATACGAAGAGAAAGTCGACGAAGAGAATCTGCCAATGTTACTTAGGACCTAATGCAATGTTTAGCTTGAAATGCAACTTACACACTTATAGCGAATTCAGTGCCAATATTTCAAAGGGGCGTAATTGCTTTTGTAAACAATGGCTTTAGACGTCGATTTCTCGCAAATCAAAACCCACCCCTCCAAATTACAAATGCTAGCTGATACAGGAAACATTCCTCTGCATGCTGGTGTCATTCATTTTCATGAGTGAGCTTTCATTCGCAAGAAATCGACGACTAAAGCCATTGTTTACAAATGCAATTACGCCCCTTTGAAATGTTAGCACTGAATTTGTTTATTATCGGGGTTGGAACCAGTTCCAACCCGATGTCAATTATACAAGGTCTGGTCTAACCGGCTTATTGGTATTAGTGAAATGTGGAGATGTCTAGTGGTGGTCGTATTTCATCGCAATGTTTATCTTTTTACACGAAACAGCTGTTTTCTGTGACGACACGTCTGCTATTCGCAGTATGGAATGTTGTGCTGCCGTAACATCGGCATTCGCTTGCCCAGCAATGTTTACAATATGATTGACATCGGTTATAAACCACTTGTGTAACCGAACTTTTTGTCAGTGCGAACCTGAACCTAAGGTAGATTTTAAAAACAAACGGTCAAACTGACGTTTGTCAGAAAACAAGCAGAGTCGAACAGCTAAACATTCGGTAGATCATTGACTTTCATTTTGTGCGGATGAGCCTGTTTTACTCAAGCATAATTTCAAACACGTTCAATCTTATTGAAATGAACAAATCGACAGTGAGCATGCATAAGGGCGAATACGCGCTGATCGATTCTCTTCATCGATTTTCTCTTTGCATTGCTACAGCTAAGCGAAACAATTTTCTAGAATTTGTTCAATGCAAAGTAGTAACAGGTTGTATTGGCTATCAAAAGCAACAGCAAACGCACCGATAAACGTTAAATCTAGCGAGTTATGAACGAAAGAGAACATCGACGAAGAGAATCGATCATCGCGTATAGGCCCTTATGCATGCTCACTGTCGAAATCTTGTCATTGAAGTGAAGTTTTCATTTTCTTGTATCATTAAAACAATCAAACTGAACTGCCTTGATTTTACCCAATAGTTCAGCTGTTGAGATTTCGGAAAATGTTACCGAAATCCACGATAATTACTAAGTGTGTACCATTCAAGCTATGGCCTGGGAATGTACTGAATTCAAATCCAAATAGCATATGGGATTTGATCTAATAGGGACCAACATGGAATATCTCGCGATCCTGGACATATAGAAGGGTACTGTCTTCGGCAAAGTTGTTTAATAGATCAAGACCTGATGGTTGGTGGACAGAAGTTTGCATTTTTTCACTACGCGGCGCTAGTGTGCATGTATTAGTGATTTCCTTTTTATGTCATATCTTGAAATCATTGCCATCTAGGAAGTTGCTGTCTTGAGCAAAGTTGTTCAGTAGATCAAGACCTAATAGTTGGTGAACAGAAGTTCGGAATTTTCTCACTACGCGGCGCTAGTGTGCTTGAATTTTTGATTCCCTAGTCTTCCGAACTTCTGTACACCAATCATTAGGGGTTGATCCAATGATCATCTTCACCAAAAGTAGCAACTTCCTAGATTAGAAAAATATCTAGATATCAATCAAAATTCAAGCACACTAGCACCACGTAGTGGGAAAATTCCGAACTTTTGTCCACCAACGATAAGGTCTTGATCCATTGAACAACTTCGACGAAGAAAGCAACCTCTTAGATGGCAAGGAAATGCAAACTAGCGCCGCGTAATGAGAAAATTCCGATGTCCACCAACCTTTAGGTCGTGATACACTAAACAACTTTGCAGAAGACAGTAACCTTCTATATGTCCAGGATCGCGAGATATTTCATCTTGGTCCCTATTAGGTCAAATCCCGTATGCTACGTGTACTCCATTTACGCGAATTCGATTTACGCGGTACGTTTTACTCGCGCTCTTCGGGGGGAGAGTGTATTAGTTTTTGTTTTAAATTACGTATGTATGTCACATTGAAATTGCTGTATCTTTCTATGTTTATATTAAGCTACAAAATGTCGGTACTATATCCAAAACTCAATCAAATGTGATCTCGTGAGCTCAATCCTCGAACATGCCTTCTCAAGAGGAGACAACATTGTTATGAACAGTTTTTCTGAAGACAGCAAATCGATCAGATTTACTCTTAAACAGTTATTTTAAATCATGACCATCCTCTCACAAACATCAACATCACGCCAAAACTGTATTATTCATGTTTATTTATATTTTATGCAATCCTTATGAATTTTAACAAGAAACTTCAATCGCCAAACAATCAGTCAACCGCACCATTTCGTTTACGTTCTTGTGTCTCTGTCTGTCACCTTATGTTTCACATATCCAATGAACACCAGAACATTCAACATACTATCGACAGCGCTCTCTTTCTTTTAACTTGCGATCAAACTCGAGCTGAATGTTACTTGCCAATAAACTGCAGATACCACCTTCGAAAGGATCGAACATCTGTAGACTTCGATAAACTATAAAAGGAAAATGTTACTCGTTGTTCACCACAACCGTATCCAGGCTTGTATAATTTTGAGCATCTCTATCTTTCCCACACTCATAACTACAAACATTCATTCAACAACAAATTTAATATAAAAAAAATATTATAATGAAAGCAATCAAGTACCACCACTTAAAACAAAAAGTGATTGTTGAGACTAATCGAAAGAAAACAATCAAGTTCTACTGCTACTTACTAGTACTTCTTCTACCACTACCACTACCAGTACACTGCCATTGACGACGGTAGCCCTAGGTAGGATCAACGCATGCTCAAGTTATTCGTATCCATCATCAACTGCATGGTAACTAGGTGGCATGGTACGAGAGGAATGTGCACGCGAAAGCACGTGGCATGCAGCATGAGAAGAAAGGTTATGCCTTGTTGTTGTTGAAAGCACTACAAACGCAACCGGAATGGCATGAGTCCGAATGAACCAGCACAACAAATTGCATGACTCTACTTTGCATGGGAATGCTTCACCACCACCACCAACCCCCGTCTTTCAGGATGCTCCTTTCTTGCATGGGGACTGCATGATCCTTGTACCCTCCCTCTCTGTGCTTGATAATTGCCTGCTCCTGAGCCTGCCGTAGCCAAATGCATGTCCACTACCATACTCCTCTCCCTCTCTAGTCACTGCATAAAGTAAATGCTTGCGCTTTTCCTGTATTGCATGTTGGCGAATGATTGCATGAAACACCCCGTAATCACAATTCCGATCTAAGCATGCTGCTTCTATCTGTCCTTTCTACGCTAATCTACTACCGCATGAATCGAATGTTTATTTTTTTTTGTTTGTTCCATTCAAGCTAAATGACAGCCGACCACTGCGATGGTCGCACTGCCATTTAGAACCTTTTCTTCCTTCATTAATTTCGTTCCGATTCAAAACTTTTCCAAACTAACTTTTGATTTCCGTTGTCCCTCAGATTTCGTTCCGATATTTTGCCTTTCTCTCTTTACTTCTCGTTAGCATTTTTTCTCAAAAACAAAAGCAAAGTTTCTCCCACTTGTCCCGTTTGATTTTTTCACTCCCCCTGCGACATTTTTGTACCGTTTCTTTCCGAACAATTTTCCTCCCAAATGTCAAACTTCTTCTATCTCATTCTCCTATTTTTTTTTTCGCTTCCGAAAAAAAAACCCCTCGAGAAACAGCTGAAGCTCATAATTTTTAGGAACCCCTCAGTCAGCTTCCGAAAGCGAGAAACCAAATATATCTAAACGAAATAAGCTCTCTCTGGCGACAGTAGGGACCAGATAGGAAATGCCAGCCCAACCCCCCGATCCCTCCTCTTGCTCCGAAATTTAGAACTGTAAATATGCCTCACTTGCACCAATCTGCTGCTGCGGAGCAAAATATGGAATCAATCGATCAGAGCAGATTGAAAACCAACCCCAAATTTGAAAGCTGATAGCTAGAGAAACCCCCGCCCCCGTAAAACCAACAAACCCTCCCCCCACCACCCCCTGCCCTTCGACGCAAAATACACACGTAGGAAGTTACACATAGGCATCCCTATTAACCCAGAAAAGATCCCCGAACCCCCTCAACTCAGGAAGATATCCCCCTCAGAAGTTTAGCTAGAATGTAAAACTAAATTCCACACCGAAAATAAAAATCAATCACATGTTTGCTAATATTTAATTTTCTTCCCCTCAACGCCATCGGCCCTCAACCCTGTCGTCGATCCGTCATCATCAATGCTGTCATCCCAAACCGACCGACCGAACCAAACACAGGAATACAGTGTACAGCTAACATTCCGAGAGCAGTGGCTGGACGAGAGGCTCAAATTCGACGACATCGGAGGTGAGTGAAACATGTTTCGAAGCAAACAAAAAATTAGGTTATGATTGGTGTTTCATTGTGTGTGAGTGCCATCCGTACGATCCGTTGTGCCCGAGGGAGGCTTGAAAAGCTGTCGGATAATGCGCCGTCGTAATTGATGGGGATTTCAATCATCTGGGGCAGGCTGTTCGGTCATTTGTTTTACAGTTTTCGAACTGTAAATCACAACAATTACCGAACATTGAGCTACAGCTTTCCCCCGAAGAACGCGTTACCCACTGAGTTGCACCCACCGCTTTTTTTTCCTTTGGTTTGTTTTTTTCCGTCGATCTTGTTTTCCGTGCTGAGCACCAATGCTACCGACGTGCCAGGAAGGCAGCTCCCACACCTGGACCCTACCTATCGACCCATCAACTCATGAACCGGGGACCAACGGCTTTACTTCCCATCCGAAGGGCCCACCGCTTTGTCTCGGTGGGGTTTCAACGAAGCGCTCTGATTTTCTGCGAGTGACTAGTTCTCCAATGACTCTACTCACATGCAAAAAATCAGTCCGACTGGTTGAAATCGCGCCGAGAAAAAGCGGTGGGTGCAACTCAGTGGGTAACGCGTTCTTCGGGGGATAGCTGTAATCTCAAAAAAAAACTACTGACGTTCAGTAGTTTTTGCGAGAAACAACTGAAGACGGTAATAGCACAAACGAAGTGACAGACGACTAACTGGCGAAGAAATCCATTAAAATAATGTGGTTCACTGTAATAGAATTTTCTTGGAAGCTTGTGCCATCATCCACAAGATGGGTTAGTTTTTTTGTTTTGATTTGAACAAAGTTGATTTTGTGTATAATGATTCTTTGAAGTGTGCAAAGAGTGTATCATTTTGTCATTTTTTATGCATTTCAGTTTTGAGTTGTTACCGTTTGGGTACTTTGCCCTATGAAAAAAGCTCGAGCAGAGAGATAGCAGTGCGGTAAAGAGCGAGCACTCAACCGAACGAGACAGCAATCCACTAGTATACTGCTGTTCGGTGCGCTAATGTCTGAGAACCATGATAGTTTATAATCAGTAATGATTGATCTAATGTTTGCTTAGAATTAATGATATTATTAGTCATATTGTTGCTAAAACTAAACAGTGAATGAATAGTAGAGCACTAATGGCTCATTCATATACATAAAACAGATAGGAATTAGGGAACTGAATTAAATGAACTCCAGTACGAACGGTCGAATTAAATACAGAAACATACCAACTGTTATACACCTACACTTAACATACAGAAAACAACACCCACCACCCGGATCATGGAGGAGAAGGGAAATTTGGAATGGGACTAATGGATCAAGAAGGAAAGGGACATTTTGGGAAAAGGGAAATATATGGTCTGCTACCGGTCCGAAGAATAGCACTAGTTCTTTTCCACGCCAACCTTTGAGAGAACAAGTTCACCAAGTTTAAGAACAAAGTGTAAAAAAATAGTGAACAGTCAAATACGGGTGGAAAAAACAAAGCTGCCTAATATATTGAAACCGTAAAATCAGGTAGGACTATATAAAACGGACTCCGGTAGCATAACTTTCATCAGACCCTTTTCCTATTTCCCACGTGCCCTCAGGACCCATTGAGTTTTACCTCAAAACCGGCTGTAAAGCCTGAGTCAGGCCACGGTCTGTTAAATCAGCCCGAGAACGCACTAGGCCAGGTAGTGCTCGATCGACCGGCTATACGTGCCAACGAGCCGACGTTCAACCTTGGTAGGAAACCTGGTGCCGCGAGGAGTTCGCAGCTACAGAACCTCGTGCCATCCTGCACTGATACCACTGTCCGTGGCAATCGTGCCATTCATCGCACTCAACCAGCAGTCCCCTGCGTCCAGCGCAAGTGACGCCGACGCCGCCGACGTGCAGCAATATCAGCGATCATCCGATCGCACTCGTAGCCGCCCCGTCCGATTCCCCGCAGCAGAGATCCACGTGCCGGCCGGCCCTTACACACACACACACACCCCCAGAATTTGTAAGTAGGTTTTAATTAATAAAAGTTAATTAGTGAAAGATTAGGTGACCGTGTTTGCATTTGCTGATCAGTGTCCCCTATTTGTCCGGAGCCGACCTTGAGAGCTCCGTCTCTCAAGCTCGAGCTAGTCGCCGCAAAAGAGGCTGGTGGATAGCCCACCCCGTCTGGTCCCCGTGGCTTTAGACCAGGGACCTGGGGCATTGTAGTCTTAGAGAGAGAGAGCACACGCTGTGAGTAACAGAGTAGAGTGAAAGAGATAGAACCAAAACATTCTAATACATTTGGTGAAATTGCTAGTACAATCCAGTAGTAGTGTTGTCATGTGGTACAATCCAGTAGTAGTGGTGTTGCCATGTGGTACACTGAAAAATTGCAATAGCAGGTTAGTCACCAAAGTTTTCGAGCCGCTCCGTCTGTCACTTCGTTTGTGGTAATAGCAAGTACTGAACTTACCGTTAAATAACAGCTTTGCGAAGAATGGCTAAAACTCAGTCAAATACAGTACCGAATTTTCAGAATTCGTTATGTTTTACTGGAGCAGTCAGCAATGACCAAGTCGATCGACCAGATTTCTACGGAAATGTGACGTTCCAAATGCGTTTTTTACGAATCTGTAATTCATTTTTAACGTACCTCTTATTTTCACTTAAATGCTTATACTAAACTTTTTAAATCGGTTTATTTATGAACTCTGGTTACGGAATTGGATTCCACGGGAATTTTTAACCCGATTTCATATAAATAACATTATACTTAAGTGCATTCTAGCTAATTTGAGGACCAAAGACATTTTTTTATTTGCATCCCTTCAAGGGGTGGTCACTCTACACACTCATTTTGCGCCAACTTTTTTCTCAGTGTTTCTCAGTGTGCCGCAGCTGTACCGACAGAGCCGAGAAGTCATTGAACTGACTTGTGTTTGCTTGTGAACAATGGCTTGTTTGGCAACCCGTTTACAAAAACGACACGGACTCCAGTTGGGACTACACATTACAAGCAGCCGTCTCCAAGGATGCCTGCAACGGACGAGCCCCGTTGCTACACGATCCTACCATCTTCGGCGGAAAGCGACCGTCAATCTGTAGTCAACCATGGATACGGATACGTCTATTAACGTCTCTTTAAACTGTTCCCCTACAAGAGGAGAATTTAGTTCATTCGAGACGGGTTTTAAACAGCAGCTGTTTCATCATTGTGTCCCCCGTTTAGGTCGGTCGAGGGAGTACCTTGGTCTTTAGGACCTTTAGGACTGCCTCTTGTCGAATGAAGTGGCATGACTACCAGTCATTTTCTTTCTAATGCCACTTCAACTTACTCATGCTTATATCATATCGTATAAGTCTAACGCCCTCAGGAAGTTGAGTACAGTTTGCTCTGTACTCCTGTCGTTGAACAATACCTCACGGATTGAACCAACGACACCCATATCTTCCCTTAATTGTGCTCTCGCCGGGCACTCCACCAATAGATGATTTACATCTAATACCGCACCGCATCCCTGGCAGTAGGCCACACTGCCGCTAAATCGAGGTCCATGAGTGAGCCGTGTATGACCAATCCTCAGCCGAGTCAGAACTTTCTGATCTCGAGAATTAGGTGCATCCTTCCACTCTTGTGTAGTGTTCTTGATACGACGCAGGAATGCATCATGGTTGTTATGCCAAGACACATTCCATGCGTATCGCGAGGTCTGCTTCACCCAGCGGGTAGCGTCACTATAGGGCACCGGAGTGGCCTCTAGTTGAGCAAGACGACCCTGGTTAGCTAGTTTATCAGCAGCCTCATTCCCTGGTATACCTGCGTGTCCAGGTACCCATGCAAAGGTTATGTTAGCGTACCGTTGCACCTCTAACAGCCACGGGTGTCCAACCTGCCTATGCTCAAGGGCAGAGAGACAACTCGCAGAGTCAGATAATACAACAGCCTGAGAGCCATTTGCTAGCCTACAAGCTTGCAGGAGAGCATAGGCCTCAGCTGAGAAGATACCACAGAGACCGGGTAACCGGCCGCAGCGGCTTATGTCCTCCCCAGACACCCCATAACCAACCTCCTCTTCGATTAATGAACCGTCCGTAAATAGCTTGAGCCTTCCCTCGTATGAGGCAGCGACCTCCCTAAATGCAGCTTTCGCCACACTAGAGCTAGCCCCCGCCCCGCACATAGCTTTAACCCTCCAATCAACTTTCGGGGCAGTAGCATCCCATGCCCGTTGCCACAGCCTAGCTCGCTGGGCTAACGTGGGAAAATCTACTCCCGTCAAGTCGCTCCACCATTCTCTCGCCCTTGCAACCGTAGGCCTGGCATTGAGAATGGGATCCCTTTCTAGGAGCCTTAGCGCCTTGGTGGCCAGGTCTTCGGTGACAGCATTCACCAAAGGAACCTTTCCATTCTCCACCAACAGAGAAGCTATTGGTGAAGACCTCAGCGCTCCGCTACACATTCTGTACGCCTCATTGTACTGAGGTTCCAGAATCTTGAGCAGGGAGACACCACCCCTGCTCCACAGTTCCGCCCCGTAAAGGATGCTAGGGACAACCAGAGCCCTAGCAACCTTGGTCAATGTACTACGAGAGGCTTCAGAGAAGCGACCATTTAGGGTCCGAAGGATATTCAACTTGTTGTTGACGTTATCCTTCACCAACTTGGCGTGCTTAACAAATCGGAGTTTGTTATCAATAGTCACACCAAGCAGTTTCATCTCGCGTACGGCCTTGACCGCATGCTCACCGATACTAACATAAGGCAGGTTCAGTCTGTGATGATGACCAAAGCAGACGTGCAGCAGTTTGGACTTCTCGGGGGAAATCACAAACCCAACACCATCTGCCCAGTCAACGACAGACACCCTACCGTATTTACCTAACACGATAAGGGTAATATCATCGGCGTATACAATGATGTATACTTCCTTGGGAATGCGTTCAAACACTGAGTTCATCGCAATGAGAAACAGTGTAACCGAAAGGACAGACCCTTGCGGGATGCCATTCTCCAGCAACCTCGAGG